TCTTGGATTTAAAGACTTCACAGTCGGCCTTTCCTTTCTGAAACTCACCCTCTACTCCTTGCCTTTAATCCAATTAGTGATCAAAGTGTACAGACTATTTTGCCACTGCTATAGCCTTACTGAGTGACATAATTCACCTAACACTGATCTCCCCTGGGCCAGTACATCTTCCATAGAACTCTCACATTCTCTTTTTAAACACAGGTGTGGTCATGCCCACATTTCAAAACTTTCAATGGCTTAGCATTGTTTTAGGGGGAAAATGCATGTCCTTTTATAGTTCAGCACCAGTCCATTTAAACAACTCCTATTCCTCACCATGTACCCTGACCTATACTCCAACCATGCCTTCTTTTTGTATTTTCCAAAGCCATCATGGTCCTTCATACCTCTCTGCTTCTGCATATACAAAAACAACCTCTGCCCCCAAGGCTTGGGTTATCCTAATTCTTCCAAGCAGCATCATTTACTGTTTACTTCTCTATAATACAAGAAATAATGTAGTATAACATATATTGCAGTAAGTCTTTGCAGTTAGGGAGGGAATTTCTTAAAGGTAAAAACTATCAGATTAACATTTTTGTCTCTCTAGTCTGGTGTTCATACTTACTAGTTACTCAAAAATATTTCTTAAATGGGATAAGAAAGATGAGTAACAACTAGAATCTGAAAAGTAGAAATCTTGAAAAAACTTTGGGGGATAGTACAGGAAACTGAAGTATATCAAAGGTCTTATGAAGGCGTAGCACACGTATGATCATTTAAAATTACTTTAATGAATTTAAATTATCTTAATTAAATGTATCTTAATCATTATACAATCATTCAATTATCTAAATTAATTTATCCTAATCATTAAACTTTTAGAATCCAGAAGAATGTTTACTATTCTTCATTATTTTATTCTATTAACCTCGTAGAATAATATAATCCCAAAGAGAGCTTAATAGATACTTTCTGATGAGTGCTAGAGAAAAGGAACTAGTGAGTTCAACATAGTTTTCTGTACCCTGTAATAATAATGATGATGATGATGATGAAATAATTGCTTTCTTAGGAAACAGGTACAAAAACCTGTAATAACTGTATCCCGGAGGATGTCCCTGGAAAAGTCATTTTTTCTAGATATGAGAGAGAATTCAAGTTTCAACTCCTTCAATTTACATGCTGAGAGCAAGACGTTCGCTCTTCTTTGGGACCAGATGATGATCTCGCAGCGACACCCCTCAGGAGTATATTTGAATATCAAATTTATAAATCTTTTTTTTCAAACAAGTCAGAGACAGGTACAGATGAAAGGCGGAGAGTAAACCTACGTTGCCCCAGCCACATTCACAGAGCTCCTGAGTTGCAGCCCGACCCAGCCGTTCCGGGCCCAGGCTTCTACTGGAGAATGTCGGGATGCCATCGCTACTGGCACCCAGGTGTCACTGCGGGTCCTTTTCTCCTTTCCTTCCTCACAAATCTCCTCAAGTGTGTGCTCTGTGCAAAAGAGTAAGATGCTATAGGGAAAGTGAGAATTCGATATCAATGAGGACAAACTACAAACTCCACCACTGGACACGTTTCCAAGGGGTTTAGTCCATGAGCCAGCAAGTGGTGCCGGGGATTTAGCTCAGTGGTTCTGCCGCCTGCCTCGAAAGTGCAGGGTCCTGAGTTCGATTCCAGGTACCAAAAAAAAAAGAAAGTGGTATGACTTCATGACAGTCATGGTATCCTCTGTCTATAGGCAGGAGTAAGGACCAGGCACCTTTTATTTTCAGTGCTGAGGGCTGAACCTGTAATTGTCAAATGTCAATAAGAACAATAGCAAAGTACCTTCCACAGCTGGGAAGCTAACCTAAGATTGAACTGGCAGCAATGGCATAGGCTAAGATTGAACCAAGTCTGGAAACAGCAAAAGCAAAGGGCGCTTCTTGACTTTCCACTGTGAAGGGTCAGAGTTGCACTCTTGGATGAGGAATAATGGAAAAGCCAGCTCTAGTATAGAGATGCATGGACTCTCATCTGAGCCACTGGTCCTCATTAGCAATGAAACTGCCTGAATCCCAGGTCAGTTTTCAGAGATCAGTTTTCTTTCCAATCAGAAAAGGAAAGGTTAGTCCATGAGCCAAGAAGTAATATGAATTTTCCTGAGGGTCGCTGTACCCTCTCCACAGCTTTCTTCAGACAGAGGTAAAGGGCAGTGCTGGGGACTGAACCTTGGGAGCCCTGAACTACGTTCCCAGCCCTTTCAGAATTTTCAGACAGAACCTCAGTAAATTGCCAAGGATGGCCTCAAGGTATGTGGCCTCCTGCCTCAGCCTCCCACGTAGCTACGATTACAGGCACCTACTGCTATATCCAACCAGGAGTAAAGATTAGAGTAGATCTTTAAATTAAATATGAGATAATGGCGAGACGTTCACATGGGCTTCACACCATGTTAATAATCAAACAGGCAGGGTATTCTCTTGAAAACAGGGATGCAGATCCCTACAATGGGCTCCACCTAAAATGGCTTAGAAATCACTTGAAATAAATGATGGCTGTATATACGTAAGATAATAAAAACAAAGCCAAAAGCTTGTTCAGAAAGCAGGTAGGAAGAAAAATTAGGTTTCTTGGCTATTTCACAAATAAGTTTTGAATGGTGATTATGCCTTTAACCAGTGTACAGTGCTAAGCACAGGCAATTCATCAGTGGACATCAGGGACCTCATAGCCTCCCAGACTTTATATTAACAAAAGGACAAGGACCATAAATAAATCCCACAAACAAGTCAGGTGATGCAGTAAAGGAATCAGGCTCAGAGGCAAGCGGTGTGGCTGCAGCACAGGAAGTTCCTGTGATCTCACAGGGACATCCTCCCAGGAGTATATTTGAATATCAATATACATGGGGGCATGGAGAATATCAGGAAGGCAGAGACCGTGTCCAGGATGAGGGATGTGGATTTTATTCTGGGGTGACGCAAAGCCCTTGGGAGGTCTGAAGCAGAGAAGAGCAGTTCTGATCCCAGATGAAGGTAGATTTGTAGATCAACTGATGGGGAAAAAGGCAATTCTTATGTTATGGCTTTGTTTTCTTAGTGTAGGTTGAAGTTAAGTTGCCAGTGAAACCCAGTTGTGCAGGAAATCTGAATCCATTTATGCATATAAACAAGGAAAAAGTGGGAAAACATCCAAAGAATGAAAATTATGTCCTATTGACTTTGCTCACAACAGTGTGTGCTATAGATCCTGCTCCGCAACCTTGCAGGGTTTTGTTAAACCTCAGCTTCCCGTGCCTGTCCAGAGGAGGGAGGGGGAACTCAACCATCTGTACACTACACAGGTACTCCAGGGGGTTCTGAAGCACGCAAGTGCAGGAAATGACCAGGAGATGATTTGGGGAAGGAACAAGGCTGGACCAATGGAGTGGCAGGCAGGTGCAGAGGAGGAGCCATACCTGCATGACAGGGCGCAAGGAGGTGAGACCCAGCGAGAGAGGGCTGGTCTGGCTGACGGTGGCACTCTCTCTCACAGGCAGCAGGGAACTCATTTGGATTTTGGAGCATGAGAGTGGAATAATGCACACACGCACACATACACACTTTTGGTTTTGATGACTGAAGAAGTTAAAGACTGGACATAGAGTGGCTGTGGAAGAGGAGGTTGCTATGCAGGTAATTAGAATGCTTCAGACTGGAATGTAAGTTTGATAAGATCACTGACAGGAGGATGCTAACTCTAAGGGTGGACAGATGGTAGATGTAGAGTATGAGACAGAGCTGCTGGTCCTACTCAGGTACTGGGTGCATACTTGAAGGGCATGGTGCTTCATCTGGGCTAGTGAAGAATTTACTTCTCAATGGATAATATCCTCTCTGAAATATGGAGTTAGGGAGGGGACGCCAATGGAAGCCTAGTTTGGCGCTGTGCCACACACAGGTGATGGAGAAAGTGGTGAACGTGCACTTGTGGAAAGGGAGTGACCAGGTAGAACGACAAGAGATGAAGGTAACAATTTTGAGAAATGTTCGATTAATCATCAGGAGATAGTAAGGTGTCAGGAAAGCGCTCTGTGAGTCTTAATAGAACCAATAGGTGCAGGGTCTCAGCTACCTTGGGGGGGGGGTCATTTAAATTCCAGCTGCAAGGGCTGGGGATTTAGCTCAGTGGTTTCGCTGCCTGCTGCGCAAGTGCAAGGACCTGAGTTCGATCCCGGTACCCCCCAAAAATATAAATAAATAAATAAATAAATAAATAAAATTAAAAAATAAATTCCAGCTGCTATAAACAGGTCCACTCGTGCTGATTACTGATACCGAGTGGGAGTGGTAACATCTCACTGTCACCTGCCAAGTTTTGGGGTGCCTCCCCGGGGGGGTGATGCTGGGGCTCCAACCCAGGCCACAAACGTGCTAGACCAGCGCTCAGCCACTGAGCCCCAACCCCGTTCCCCGTCCACCCAATTTCACCTGACAGTGACACTTGGGGCAGCTCAGGGGCCGGCAGGGCATCTTATTACTGACTTCACCCTACAGACACAGACACTGAGGGTCGGGCGCTGAGAGATCTGGCAAAAGTCACCCAGTTATTGAGGTCTGTTTACAGTAAGCATTTTTTAAACCAGTAATTAGCTGTACCTCAGAGAAAATGAGAAAGACTCACAACCAAGAAACGCTCATCAGATCAAGTGACAATACTTCTTTAAAATCAAGACAATCTGGAAAATAAAGTTATCATAAATGCTGAATGAACCTGGACTCTCACATCATTACAGAAGGTAAACGCCACGAAGAAAACCATAGTTTAACTCAGGCCTCAACTTTCGGAAATAAGTCTAGATGTTTACCAATATCCGATCGAAGTTCAAGAAAATCTGAGGACCAGGCGCGGGGAGCAGACAGCGTCCTTATTTGGGGTCCCGCGTGCGGAGCCGCGCGTGCGTGAGCGGTGCGCAGCGTCCCCCGCGTCCCACCGAATCCCACCGCGTCCCACCGCGCAGCAGCCCAGACGCCCGCCCCGCTGCTCACCGAGGACGCCCGGCGCCAGCAGAGTCCAGAGAAGCCAGCGCGGGCCCGGGGCGCCCATGTCGCCGCCCGCAGCCTCGCTCCGGCAGGCGGGGGCCCCGGGCCTTAAACGCTGCCGGCACCACGTGCGCACCTGCGGCCGGGGGGTGGGGGGGGGGGTAGGGGGCGCCGCGCTTTCCAACTCGGTTGCCCCGGGCAACCAGTGTGTTCACTTCTTTACCTTCACTGTGGAACTGAAACCATTTCAAGAAGCAGCGCTCAGCCGCGCTGGTCTCCAGTGCCTGTGGGCTCTGCTGTCCCATGCTTTTGATAACGCTCGCAGGCCCTGGTGTCAGGCCGGGCCCTCCGGGAGACGCAGGCAGGAGGATCCCAGGTTGAACCCGGCTGGAGCCTCCTCAGCGACCTGGCGAGACCGGCTCAAAATAACAAATAAAAAGGGCTGGCTGTGTAGATCACTGTGAAGCCCCTGAGTTCAGCCCCGGTACCGGCCTCCCCTCAGACTTTTTTTTGTTTCCCTCTTGGTTTGGATCCACTAAATTCATTTCACCTATGAGTGGATTCAACCTTCAGCTTCACAGAAGAGTTTGTTCACGTAAGACATTTAGAACAGAGCCACTTCTGCTATGCTGTCCGTTTTTACATCCACGTAATTTCTGCAGATAGCTTTCAGGAACGCTGCCGTGTGAATTCCCCTGGGCTGGCCAGCCGGATTCTTGCAGTGTTGAAGTTTTATTGTATTTTCTATACCATCCTCTCTCTGGATGGAGATGAAAACTATATACAAGTACATATATGTGAGTATGTGATTATAATTACATAGTTTATTTTAGAGACATTTGAGGTAAGTTGTAAGCATTTAATACCTCTTCCAGTTACTTCAATGTGCATTTCCTAAAACCAGGGACATTCTCGTCCATAATTACGATGCAGTGACCCTAAACAAGAAGTGAACTTTGGGACAGTGCTCTTTTATACTCTAGTGCCTGTTTAATTTTTGACAATCATCTTAATGGCTTCTGTTACAGCAAAACAGCGACAGAAACAATAACTTTTTCCTTCAGTTCGAGATCACACCTTGCATTTGATCGTCCTTTTCTTCTTCAATTTGGAAGACATTCTCAGGTATTTTTTCTTTGTTTTTGTCTTTCACGACCTTGAAGAGGACTTGGTAATTATTTTTGTAGAACAACTTTTAAATTTGTTTTTTCTTGCATAGAAACAGTTTGCCTAAATTTAGTGGCTTAAAGCAAGAATAAGCACTTGCTTTACTGCACAGGTTCTGTGGGCAGGAACTTGGGAGCAGCGCAGCAAGGCCTGGGGTCCCTCGAAGACTGCAGTCAAGACCCTGCGGCCCCCCCGAGGGGCTGCCTAGGACTGCAGGGTGGCAGGGAGGATGGCTCACGGAGGTGCTGGTGGACCAGATGCCTCATTTCTCCACCAAACAAGCGTGGCTGCTGGGCTGCAGGAGTGTCGAGTGTTCTCAGGACCGGCAGGCAGCTGGCTTCTCCCAGATCATGAAGGGCATAAGCCCGGATGTATTTCATGATGCTATGTCCTTAATGGGGGGGCGCATGTCATCTACTGGCCCTGTTACTAGCAGTGATCACTCTGATCACTTAAGGTGGCAGTAACTTTGACCCTTCAATTAAGCTGGTGTCTGCCAGGTTTGTCGAGTGTAAAGTTACTCTTCTTCCCTTTAAGTAATAAGGATTTTGTGGGTATATACTGTAAAATTATGTAAATAACCTCATCTTTATGTCAGCATTTCACCTTCTAATTTTAGCATACATGAATAATTCTTGTCTGAAACAGTTATCACTGTTATGATCGCCAGATGAATTCTTTCTAATTCAATCATTACTTCTGTATTCATGAGCTGGCATCTATTATAAATAAAAGCTTTCTCTTCTCCCCTGTATTTCGTTTATGTGTGTTACTATCATGTGCTCGGTATCATGTACTCAATATGAATTTTATTTATTCAATATGCTACAATCTGTACTATCATTATTTATTTCTTTGCTCAAATTGTTCTTTATTTGGCCCAGGGGAAGCCCTCAAAGTAGTTCCAGTGTCAGTTTGATCTCTTCTTAGCATTTTTGAACATTTCCTTACTTTCTGGAGAAATGAGATGCCCGACTTGCTCTACTTTTTCAGGCCCAGCCCTGAAATTTGCCATTTTTCCAAGGAATGCTGATTCTTTGTGGTAGAAAATGGTATTTAGAAACCAAGATCTGGATGCTAAATGTGTTCATTGCTATTGGAATACCATTTCATCTTTGCCCTCTCAGTAGACAAAACAGGGAAAGAGTGAATTCATATCCATGGTCTGCTTAAATCTGCTTCTGTCTATATTATATCTGTCACGAATTTATGCCAGTTTTCCCAGTTCCAGCCCTTTTCCACAGATTTCATTCTATTCTTCCCTCTTTCCATATTTGTAACTCCCTCCTCCAACAGTGAGATGCCTGGCCTCACCCTCTATTTATTCTCTCTACTCCTACAATACAGAGAAGGAAGTTCTAGAGTTGCTAACTCCATACCATGATAAAAATCAAACCTCCGAGTTTGTCTGCTTCTCACTCAGCCCGGTGTGATCTGCTCCCCTTTAATGCCTCTAAGTTCATCTTCCACTTCTGCCTTCTCCTCCTCTGGCACAGTGGCCTCTGCTGTTTTGGGGTGCGCACATCTGTTCTGCCGAGGTCCTCGGCCCTCAGCCTCCTTTGTTCTGCTCTGTGTGCTTTTTCCCCATCACCCCAGGGCCAGGCTCCTCCTTTATTTCAGTCTCACTCGTAGGCCCCTTCTCCGTGAGGTCTCCAGATATCCTTGTATGTCCCCACCTTCCTTTGCCTTCCTACCCACTTCTTTGGTCGAAATTTTTTCCTTTATTACTTAGCTCTAGAGGCATAGTGTGTGTTTGACAGGATACTGTTTGTGTTTTTCTTTATGTAATGTGTAATAACACAAAGGCAGAATCTTTTTGTCCCTGTGTTTGTTTTTTGTGCCCAAATCCCGTAGTTCCAACAATATTGCTTGGCATGTGTTAGATACTCAATAGAAATGTTTTTAAATTAACAGATACACAGATTCCTTTGGGGGAATGGGGATTCTGCATTGGTTTTTCATCTTGTGCTATACTTAAGTCGTTAGGTATGCATTAAAAGGAGTTTATGGGTGTTTATAGTATTAAAAATCTAGAATACATATGAGTCAGTGACAATTTAAAAGACTAAATGGAACCAGAGTTGGAGCAGCGTTTTCTAGGTGTAAGCAAAAGGAAGCTGTCCTGTGAAAAATGTCAGTTCCTACTATAGTCAAGAAACTAAGCTTTATACGTAGAGATTTGCTGAATGTAGACCTAAAATTTGACCTAAAATTCTTAAATTAAGCAGGGTAACCAAAAGGGGCAATTATAGTACTGTGACTTCTAATTGAAGGAAACACATCTCTCCTCAAAAGGAATCCTTGGAGACTGAAATACTTGCACAAATTAAAATCAACCACTAAGAGCTGGGTGTGGTAGCGCATGCCTATGATCCCAGCACTCAGGAGGCTGAGGCAGGAGGATCACCTTAAACTTGAGAGCAATTTGAGCTACACAGTGAGTTCAAGCCCAGCCCTGAACTACGTAATGAGACCCTGTCTCAATCAATCAATCAATCAATAACCAATCAATCACTAACATGCTCACAAAATAATAAATTTTAAAACTCTTAAGTAGAAATTGAAACTCTCAGCCTGACAAAGGTAACTGCAAAAGACCTAAAGCAAATATTACTTTATAGGGTAATATTTAGAGACATTCTATTTTAAATTGGGTCCATTTCAAAACTGAAGTTGAAATGCATAAGCATTTTTAGTGATGAAAGGGCATCATAGGGCTAAAAATCACAAGATGTTCTTTAGAGAAATGGAATAAGCCCTAAATAGGCACACTTATGGATGGAAGACTTGATAAAGAAGACACATCAGCACCCTACAAATTCATCTGTACATTTAACGCAATTTTAGTCAAAATTTAACATTTTTCCCAGGAACTTGGCTATGTTGTTCTGAAATGTAGAGGGAGGAGCAAAAGCCCAGGAACAGTCAAAGGGATCCTTGGTGATTCTTGTTTTCGTAGGCATCAAGACTCACTACATGAATTCTCAGTCATGAGGACAGGATGGTATTGGTCAATGGGTGGTCAAATTTGATGATAAAAAAAGAAAGACTTCACTCAGGTATGGAAACTGACACATGACGTAAGTCACTGGTGGAAGATGGGCCCATCAGTAAGGATTTGGGGACAGTTAGTTACAGCTAATGAAATGCTGACATTGGACCCCAACTTCATACACATTAACTCTAATCCCAACAGAGGTTTAAAAATGAATGGAAAGTCATTAAGATATTTAGGAAAAAAATATGTATGAGACTATTTTTATAACCTTGGGATAAAGAAATGTGTCTTACAATAGTCATGAAAAGTGCAAACGATAAAGGAAAAGATTGATTAATTCCACTGCATTACAGTTAAGAACTGCATTAAAAACTACTATTAAAAGGGAAAACCACATAAGCTATATAAAAAATTTGCAACACATATAAATAAATGAGATTATTATGAATCATATAAAAGAATTCCAAGATATCAATCAGAAAAAAAATCAATACAAATGAACAAATGAATAGAAATCTACTTTTACTGGTATTAACTGGATGAACTATTTCCACTAAAAAGCAACTCCAAATGCTGGGGTGTGTGTGTGTGTGTGTGTGTGTGTGTGTATCTACCTACCCTCCCACCTTCTCACCTGCCTACCTCAGGCTGCAGGATGGATGAACCTGAACTGTTGTAGATGTGGTCCTCACTGTGTAAAGGGGCTGCAGAAGGGGCTGCAGACCTGCAGGCTGTGGTTCTCATGCTGATGGGGCTGGAGTCAGAACCTGCTGCCAAGAGCACCTATGGACGGTGTGTACAGGAGCCTGGGAGACAGCTCACAGAAGCCTGCAAAACAAACACACCATTTTCCATTACATTTCATTTTTCCCAACTCAAACTTCTTGAAAATTGGTTAACCTTTCCTGTCATGACAATAACATGGAGTTTAAAAACAGCTAGGATGTATTCTAATTACAAGTAATCTGCATTACTTGGAATGCCAGTATCTTACAGACAACATAAAAGTTACATGTGAAAAAGATATCCATTCCTAGAGATTTCCTGGAACAACATTCTGGTCATTTAACCTACAAAGTGGAAGAGGAACTGCTCCTTTTAGGGGGTTTCCAGCCTGGCATAGGGGTGGATACTGTTGATTCCCTCAATAGTGAAAGAAGTTTATTCAGGAGTCACATAAGGACTGTTCTTTCCCTTTTGGAAAGCAGAATTAATGTGGTATCAGGCTGAGGAGAATCAGTGTCTAGATCCTGGCTGGGATATGTCCCTTCCCCTCCCTACCCACTTCATTTTTGTCTTGAGTTCGCTCTGTAATGAGTTACCTCAGAACACATCCACCACATAATGCTGACAGTGAGCTGTCTGGAGATGCTCGAATATCTATTTGCAATTCAGAACCTTGAGACCAGGTGGCAGTGCTGGTGATGACAGTGATGTGTGTGTTGGGGAGAGGATGGGACAGGGACGTTTGCAGGGCCTTCCCAGGATGCCCAGCTTGGTGAGCATCTCATCACCATTTGTATTTTCATTACTTGGGGGTCAAGGCAGAAATTCATCCATTTGGAATTGCATTTCCTGAAAAACCTATGGATTTTCATGTCATATTCTACTATATTTAACCTATTTCAGATCTGTGTTTGTGGCATACTGACTACTCACGGTTTGCGGGGTGCAGAATACCTTAGTAAACGTCACTCCTGAGGCCACTGAGAATGTACACGATGGCATCATCTAGTCATCTTGTCTTGGCCTCCTGGAGTGGAGTAAGCATTGGAGAGGGGATCCTGTGAGCTCTTCCCAGACTTTGCTACCCTTTCTTAGCAGCGCTTTTGTTTCTCTAACTTGGAGTTTATCCAACTTTTTGTTTAAACAAAGATCTTAGGCTTCAAGAAGACAGGGGATTGCTATGTCTCACCATCTTCATTTCCCTTTCTCCCTGACAAGAGGAGTCCTTTAGTTTATGTTCCTTACATAGAATTCACTTTAAAAAGAACTTTAATAAACTAAATTTGAATGAATCTAAATTAAATTCTAAATATTTGAAACATAATTGTGCTACTGAGAATTCACTTTCTATAATTTATCCAGCAGTCAAGTATATTTTAAAAATTTTTCACTGAAAATTTGAAGATCGACTAAAGACAGCACTAAGTTGAATACAATATTAGTAATTAATTGAAATATATATACTTTAGTTTACAAAGAAGAACAAAGTGGGATTTTTAAGAAAGGCATTTTTTAAGCCCAGGAGCATTTGATACTCTAATGCGAAACAAAAGTGGGTTTCATAAATTGGAGTTCAGGTACAGTAAGAGACATTAGAATGATTACTTCTCAACCCTAGAAATAAAACAAAGTAATAAAAAATAGTTTTGAATTTCATCAAAATAAGCTATCAAATTAGTAACTAATATTAAAAATGCATGATTAACCCAGTGAAAAATTTAATTTGTTCATAACAGGAGTAACAATATACATTTATGAGTTAAATCAATTTAAAAATATCCGTAAACACTCCAAGTCAGTATATTTATGAGTTCTGAATTTAAAAATCAGTGTAAAAGCACTTTGTCTAAACTCAAAAGCAATTAAAACTGCAACAATAAAACTAATAAATTATTTGATAAATCAGAGATCCCTTTTTAAACTTTGTAGAGCATGTGCAGCACAAAATAATTCAGTTATGCTATTTTCATGTATTTTATGTTAACATATAAATGTATAATAACTATATGTATATAAT